TTGTCTTGGAGTCATTCTGTGTATATGAATTTTTGTCCCAGGGACATGGTTATAAAGCATAAGTGCTGTCATTTCATGGCCCACTGGACTCATTATTGTCATGTTACCTGTAGAAGTAAGCCAGTTGGCTCTGGGATTAGTAGAAATGAGAGTCACCAAAGAGAAAACTGAATTTACCTAATTCCTGGAAAAGTAGAGTAGCAGCAGATGGGTCCTAAACTTGGTAATGAGTGAGCTCATTTTCTTCAGTAACCTTGCCCAGGTGCATTGTCTGGTGCCAGTCCTCATCAATAAAACCAAAGTTAAAGAATAACTATAACTTCGGACATTTTTTATTTTTATATCATATTACCAAATGTATTATTGGTGAATAATGAGCAAATTATATGTACATGAAATGAGATGGATAAACATGACAAATATAATCTTGCATAAATTCAACCAGATTAAAAATATGCATACTATCTAATCTCATTTATTAAAAATTCAAAAAGCGAACAACTTTCAGTTTCTGTCTTCATGTAAGGGTGGAATAACTTGTGGAACTAACACACTCACAAAAAAATAATAAATTCTTGATAAAATATTACATGTAGTAATATACAAACATACATACATACAATACATATGACATGATATGGGTAAAAATTAAATGATAATTTTAGCTTTGCCCACTGTAAGGGATGTGGGGATTGGAGTTGAGTCCAGCCAAGTTAACTTCATTCTAGAAATATAACAGTACTCTTCAGAAAAACACAATGGAATCCAAAATCTCAACAACTGTCATTTATAGTTTCTAGTACATAACGTTAAAATGTATTAAAATGTAAAAGACGTATGAAGAAACAGGACCTCTTTTTTGTGTCACCAAAACACAAGATAAAAAACAGGCAGTAGAAATGATCCCCAAGATATCCAAGACATTTCAGTTAGCCAACAAGGATTTGAAAACAGCAATTATAAATATGTTCAAGGAGCTTAAAAAATTCTCATAATGAATAAACAAATATGGAGCCTCAGCAGAGAAACAGAAATTATAAAATAATAGAAAGAAAGGTAAGATGAAAAAAATATTGTTGAGCTTATCAGCTGATTAGAACCTCAAAAAATAAAAGACAGAGCCATAGAAATTATCTAGTCTGAAGAAAAGAAACATAAAAATTTGAAGAAAAATAAACAGAGACTTAGAGACTTGTGAGATAAATGAGTCCCATTAGACAGGGCCTGTCTTCCCCACTGCCTGGACCATAGTGAGATGACCTGTCCCTGCCTGAGCATTTTGGCTCTGGCCCAGTGCTCTTCTGAGAGCTCAGCCCCCAGAGGCAAGTGATACTCCCTGAGGTTCCCCTTGCAGTCACAGTGGGTGCTACCACTGCTGCCACCAGGCCTGCAAGGAAGCATGGAGCCTGGACACCTTCGTGCACCCAGCAGTGAAATCCACGGCTGGCTCTGCAGGATGGAAGTGTGAGTGGGACATAGGCCCACAGCTCTCAGTCTTCACTGCACCCTCCAAGGGATTGGGGCAAGGCTCACCAGTGACAGCCCTGGAGCACAGCTGCTCTGCCTGCACCCAGGAATTTTGGCTGCTGCCCAGTGGTCTTCTGAGATGCCAGCCTTGCAGAGGTCTGCATTCTGTCCTGGGGCCCCCACTGCCATCACCACTGCTGCTACTGCCATGGCCACTGCTGAGCCAGGTAGGCAATGGGTGACCAGGCACCGTCACACAGCCCGGTGGATACTGCTGCTGTTCCCGTGGGAGAAAACCATGAGTGGACAATGTACCCGGCATCTATCTGCCTCCACTCTCCACCTGAAGGGGCCCTGCGTTCTCTGGGACAGGCCAGCAGCACAGCTGCCCTCCTCCCATGTGATGATTTTAGCCATGGCCTGGAGCCTTTCTGCGAGCCCAGCCCTCACAGGCCTATGATCTGCCCTTGAGCTCCCACCATCTGAGTGCTCTGCTGGGCCCTGCCTGACAGCTCTGCTGGTGACCTAGGGACCAGCCTTCTCTTCCATGTCACCGTCAACACCTGCACCCTGAAGACCTGAGGACAAGTTCACTGCCCCAGTTCAGGTCCAGGACCTCCATGACTCATTCATGCTGTTTAGGGGGCCATCTAGAAACCTGAAGATTGGGAGAGTGCCCAGCCCAGTCCACCATTCCTGGCATCTTATCACTCACCTCAGGGTCTGTGGCTAGGCTGACCTGACCAACTAACACCACCACAGCTGACACACACCTGTGTATGGCAAAAGGTAGAGCCCGTCCCCTCTAAAGAAAGCAGCCACATCCCTGCATGGAAGACCAGCTGAACCACAAAAGATCAGGTGTATGGGCAGAGTTAATAGGTTCTTCCCCATAGCCACTCCCATGAAGAACTGCGGAACAGAAGTTTTCTGTGGCTCTCAGGTACACTGTGGCCTGGAGAAAGATGACAGCATCTGTCTGAACTGAAGGTCATGAGGCTCTGAACAGAAGTTTGATAATGAAGCAGATCATATTTTTTTCTGTACAGGGGTGTCCAATCTTTTGGCTTCCCTAGGCCACATTGAAAGAAGAATTTCATTGGACCACACATAAAATACACTAACAGTAACAACTGCTGGTGAGCTAAAAATTCGCAGAAAAAAATAAAATTTTAAGAAAGTTTATGAATTTGTGTTGGGTGACATTCAAAGCCATCCTGGGCTGCACGCACCTCATGGGCCATGGGATGGACAAGCTTGGTTTAGGATGTGGAACTTATATATCTCCATTCTCCTCTGCAAAGACCTCGACACGTTTCACCAGGACCTCTCTCAGCCACCACCAACAGGGCTGGTGTCTGTGCTCATCACTGGCCAATATTAGGCCCTGTTGCATGGGGATCCCTAGGCAGGCACTGGGAAGCCTGAGGTGTGGCTCCTGATAGCCTCACAGCTGCCACTATTTCCTGAAGCTCCTACTTGTTCTGTCAGCTGAGCCTCCATCCCAGTAAGCAAGCAACACCCTCAAGACTAAGAAGAGGCCATAGTGTATCTCACAGCCACTGAGTGCCTGGGCTGGCAGGGGCAGAGTGCCTCAGGGCTCAGTGACGTTTGGGCTGAGCATGGGCTTTGGGAGTCAGACAGCTGTACTGGGCTCCCAGCTCCACCATGACCAGACCTGTTTCTGGAGCAGGGGCCTTCTGCTCTGGAACTTGAGACACCATAGTCATAAATATAGCACATTCTTCTAACTGCTTTTGCTTTTTTCTCTTTCTCTATCATCCTTATGATCTCTGTGTTTATTTAAGTTAATAAACATGTTATACAGTGTGTATTATTCTTCCTCATGATTTCTGAACTATATTGTATGATTCCACTCATATGAGGTACTTATGGTAGTTCCATTCACAGAAACTCAAAGTAGAAGAGTAGTTCCCAGGGGCCAAAAGGAAGGTAAAGGGGGGCTGTTGTTTAACAGAGTTTCAGTTTTGCAAAATGAATAAAATTCCCTATGAATGTGGATGATGGTTGCAGAACAATGTGAGTGTGATTAATTCCTCTGAGTTGCACATTGAAAAATTGTTAAAATGGTTAACTTTGTGTATATTTAACCAGAATATAAAAAAGGACTTTTTAAAATGAATGGGTTGGCTGGGCACAGTGGCTCACACTTGTAACCCCAGCACTTTGGGAGGCTGAAGGAGGCAGATCATGAGGTCAAAAGATCGAGACCATCCTGGCCAACCTGGTGAAACCCCGTCTCTACTAAAAATACAGAAATTAGCTGGGAGTGGTGGCACATGCCTGTAGTCCCACCTACTCAGGAGGCTGAGGCAGGATAATCACTTGAACTCAGGAGGTGAAGGTTGCAGTGAGCAGGTATCATGCCACTGCACTCCAGCCTGGCAAAAAAGTGAGACTCCATCTCAAAAAAAAAAAACAAAAAAAAAAGGATTATAGGTATCTGCAACAGCATAAATGAATATCACAAATATAATATTGCATTGAAAATTGATGTAAACGTATCCATAATATATAATTTCATTTATATTAAATCCAAAAATCAAAACTAAGGTTCTGGCTTCCACTGATGGTGAAGTAGCTAGTTAAACTAACACTCTCAGAGAGAAAAATGATGAATCCTGGGTAAAATATTATATATATTTATAAAAACACTTCTATATATAATACATATATGAGATACGTGTATATAAAAACTGATATTTCAGCTGTGCCCTCCATATTAGAGATAAGTATTGAAGTCAGAATCCAGCCCAATTAACACCCTCTTTAAAAATCAACACTCTTCAAAGGGACATAACAGAATCTAGAGTCTCTGTAACTCTTGTATACAGTCTCTAGTGTAGCTTTTTAAAATTTATGAGATGCATGAAGACATGTGAAAATGTAATACATATGCGAGATAAAAAGCAGGCAGTAGGCCTCTCCAAGATATCCAAGATATAATCAGCAGACAAGAATTTAAAGGCAGCTATTATAAGCATGCTCATGTGGGCAAAGAAAATATTCTCATAAATTAACAGATGTGGAACCTCAGCAGAGAAATGAAAAATAGCCAAATAGAAAAATAAGAATAAAAATAATAATTTTGAGCATAGCTATAGATTAGAAACAGAAGATACAGCAATAGAAATTATCCAATCTGAAGGTAGAAGTAAAAAAAAAGTTTAAATAAAATGAACAGAGCTTTACCGACCTGTTGGATGATTGAGTTTGAGAAAAGAGGAAAGACAGAAAAAAATTAAATGGGGTACAAAAGTAAATCAACAAAATTTAAAGAAGATAAACAGAGCCTTAGAGACGAGCAGAATGATTGAATCTGAGAAGGAGAGGAGACAGAAGAATTAGATGGGGTATAAAAGTAGGTCAACAACTAATATATGAAAACTGACAAAAATTGTTCAAAAACCTAAATTTTTATATCCAAAGGTTCACAACCCCCACCTCAAAAATACAAATAAAACAATACTAAGGCCATATTGTGATTTTGGAAACTAGCAGGGCACGACTTCCAATTGACTTGATATGATTTATAACTTTTACTATTTATAAGAATGGAAGTAAGTTCTCCTTAGAGTTTTTTTTTGGAGAAAGTCTGACATGTGAGGCACAGATGACAGTTATTAAAGGCAGATGACTTTTCTGCCTTGTCTTAAATGTTCAATTTTTTTCATCTTAGAAGTTATTTAAATTTGTTTCTTCCAAATCCTGCAGTAATATGGATGCCCCACAAAGATGCCCCATGGAGATTCTGTTCTTGTGGGTCCACCATGCACGGAGCTGAGGCTGTGCCTATGACAGCATCAGAAGCGTGTAGTCGTGCAATACTTAACCTGAAAAACTTAATGGAAACATGAATTCAGAGAATGATCATTTGTTTATCAGCAAACTATTAAAAGTGGTCCAAAGGAGGTATTTAAAAAGACACATTACACGATTTTCCAGGGGAGCCCTATTCAGGGCAGAAAGGCAGACACTGTTCCTGACATCACCACACAAATTTATCTCATGTGTTGGGAGGGACCATGGGGCACTCTGCTCCTGCTGACCTGCGTTAATCACGGCCGGGAGGTCCACACTAGGACTGCAAGGACTGGGAACCAGCCTAGGTGGGGTCAAACAAGTGGTGGATCTGGTTCTCAAAGCAACTGAGGGAGTCCCTTCCCTGTGGCTGTTTTATGACTGGATGTAACATGGTCAGGACGTTCCACTGGGAGGTTTTCTCCTCTTTATTACAGTGGCGGGAGCGTCCCTGTGGGAGGCCCAACCCAGGTGCGGGTTCTGCCACTTGACCGGGAGTACAAGGGGCGCTCCTGGGGTGCAGATGAGGATTTGTGACAGCCCAGAGAACAGAGGAAATGGCAGTTTGGAAAAGGCAAATGGCAGGTGACTAGGGAGACGATGTTTCCATTTCTGGCAGTGTACTGACAGTTTCAGACACTCGCGAGGGGACTTCTTGAGGGGATCCCAAGAAGCCTGAGAACTGGTCGGTCCGAGGCGGTTACCCCACCCCTAGGAACTGGTGCACTGCGCATGTCTGAAAGGACGGACCCATTACCCAACCCCTAAGGATGGGCTGCACTGCACATGTCTGAAAAGGCAAGACCTTTAGCCGCAGTCCTGGGGACGGGCAGCACTGCGCATGTCCGAAAGGCAGGCTCATTATACCACCCCTAGGGCAGGACAGAGGAGGGGCGAGAGGGGGCGGGGCTGAGGGAGAGGCAAGGCAAGAAAAACGGCTGGGCGAGACCAACTCCCGCCGGGGGAACTAACCATGGCAACCCTGCAGCGAGGCCTTAAAAGGCGACCAGCCCTTTGTTGGTCTGCCAGAAATCAAACTTCGAACATGACATGCACTAAGCCCGCAGCTTGGAGAGACAGCATGTCACAATTACAAGGTGAAACTAGCCGCCCTAGCTCCACTGTGTCCACAGCAGGAGAGATTTGGAAAGAGCCAAGTTTTCCGTCCCCAAGGTGAAACTGCTAGGATGCATGGAAGGGCGGGGCGGGGAGCGGAACCATCTTCAGGCGTTCGAGAAGTTGCAGTGTCTGGTCGGCTACCCGGCTGTTGGTCCCAAGGCGGAGGGTCCACGATGGCGGCCCGCTACGGGCTGGGGGTGTTCGCAGTTCTAGGGTAGGGACAGGGCGGTGCGTGCCTGGCGGGGCATGCTGGGAGTTGTAGTCCCTTCACAGCTTCCGGACAGTGGGTGGCGGGGTTGCAAGATGGCAACCCCTGATTGAGACACGAGCGGAGGCGCGGTGCAGCCCTGGAGGGCGGGGCAGGGCAGTGTAGGGCTCTTCACTTACCAAGCTTTGCTGGTCATTGATTCCGTGCCAAACCCTCGCCAAGAGGATTGAGTCAAGAGAGGAACTTGAGCAACAGGTCTGGACTGGGCAGCGAGGAGAGTGTGTTACTGCGAAGTGCACCCTGCCTTTGTCTGCATTGGGAGTGTCTGTTCCTCACTCAGCCGGCTTCCTGCTGCTCAGCTCAATTTTCTCTCCCACCCGCACCCAGGGTCTTTCCAGAGCATGGCGACTTCTCCAGCCCCTGGAGCCGCCTGCTTTCCTAAACTGCTGTGGAACTGGCCTGAGGTCCCAGACGCTGTCTACTGTGCTGCTGCCCTCTACTCTCTCCAAGCAGAGCACAAGTTCGGCCGCCTTTGTAGACACCCGCTGCCTGGCCTGTGGATGCACATGTTCAGAGCTTTGCAGGGAGTGACCATGGGCTGGAGCTTCGTAAAAAGTCACCATCACCAGTGCCTTTTTCGTAGATCTGGATTCGGAGGCATGAGGGAGGGTAATCATTAGGTTACCAAGGTTCTGCTAAGAGCAGAGGAGAAAACCCCAACTCCCAGCCATGTGTCTGATGTGACATTTCACCAACCTGTTTAAGTGTGCAGACCCCCAGATATCTACCTAAAGATTATGATGGTGTTACCAGGGGATCCTTGTTCTTAGAGCTCCTAAGATGGTGGCAGGCCACTCCCAAGATGGCGACAAGCCTTTTGTTCCCTGACCTGGGGTTCTTGGCCTCACAGATTCCAAGGAATGGAACCTTGGGCCATGTGGTGTGTTGTTAGAAGCTGTGGGTCACGGAAGAGAACCGTGGAACCCAGTGACTAGTGTTCAGTTCTATTAGGACAAACCCAGGCACTTAGATGTGCAGGAACAATGGCGAGCCTTTAGTCCGATCAGGAGCAGCAATAGGCACTTTGCTGGATCAGAAGTACAGTGGACACCCTGCCGGATCCGGAGGGGTAGAACTCAGTGGTGAGTCTGCCAGGCGGCAAACAGCAGTGGTGGACAGTCAGTGAAAACTCAGCTAGAGCCCTAATAAACATGGACCAGAAGAGTGTGCATTTGCAAGAGTTAATACAGTGAAAACAGAGCTCTCATACAATGGGAGGGGACCCAAAGGGGGTTGCTGTTGCGGGCTCTGGTTTATATCCTGATCATTGTCCCTCTCCCTGTGCTCTCAGGCGATAGATGATTGGCTATTTCTTTACCGTCTGTTTTTGCCTAATTAGCATTTTAGTGAGCTCTCTCTACTACCTCATTGGTCCAGCGTCAGCTAAGTTGCAAGCCTGGTGTTTAAAGGTGGATGTGGTCACTTTCCCAGCTAGGCTTAGGGATTCTTAGTTGGCCTAGGAAATCCAGCTAGTCCTGTCTCTCAATGGTTTAGGCATTTTACAGTTAAAATCTCTGACCTCATGTCAACTGAAGCCTGAGTGGCCAGTGTCTCAAAGACACAGATCATGACCTGATCCCTCAGGAACGGATTGGGCTCCATCTTTGTGGGATTGACTTTCAAGGTATGGAGCACTTGGGAGCTCTTCAAAACCTGTCAGGTTTCACATCTCTGTTTTGGGTGAAAAGCTCGTGACCCATGGTAGTCCAGGATGTGCCTTTACTTGCTGGGGCTGATCTGCTGAAAGTTTATGTTTAGACAATGGAAACATCCAGGAGCATTTCTGCTTTTATGTAGCCTCTTAATAACTGACGTTGTTGAAGAGGACTTCTGTGTCCTCAGGAACGGTTTCTTTGATTCCTGATTGGTACCAGCTTTCATGCTGCTTAATCTGTAAAATCTGGAGCATTAATCTCCATAAATTAAGACTTTATTCATACCACACATTTCAGTGGGTTTCATTTGTGATTCCTGAATGTGGGGTACAATCAAGGGAAATGAAAAACATTGTCATGTAAATGGGACCCTATTACTGTATTTAAAAAAAAAAAAACAACACCTTTAGGATTAAGTACCCATGAAACACCTTTAGGATTAAGTACCTATGGGTTCATCAGCACCTGTGTAAAGGAAGGAATAAAACCATGTGGCATGTATGAAGGGGGCAAGATGAGGAAGTATAGGGAAACTACAGCACAGCACTGGGACTCTTCTCTGGTGTGAAATAGAGCCCATGAGGACAGTCTGTGTGGTCAAGTGCTCGCATCCTTCCCTCATCCCTCAGTATTCTCATCCTGCTCCTTCCTGTGCCCTCATTAGTTAGGAGTTTCTGAACAAACTTATCCACATGTTGGTGGGTATGTTGTAACATAAGAGTATCCATCATCTTTCATCTTAAAACAAAGATTAATGGAAAGGAGAGTCTTGCACTCTGTGTTTAGATGTACTGCTATTGTGTGTGTGGCTGCAAAGACACTGTGCTCTCAGCTGTTCGACAGCCGCTTTCTAGAAGAGTAGTTCTAGTAGTCCAACTTCTGCTCTTCACAGAGCTGAGAGCTCCTTGTGGTTTATTGTCTTCTGGTGAGATTTGTGACACTGACCCTCTTCTGCTCACCCCATTCAAGGTAGTATCTGCTGGGTTGCCTAGTTTGTTCGACTTGTTTTCTGACAACCAGTTGTGTAACTGTATTTGAGAAGGGTACACCCTCACTACACTAGTCACTGCATACTGACTACGTATTTATCTTGCTGCAGCCCACATGTTTGTTTTCTCCAGTGGAATAGTGAAGAATTCTAGTTACAGATGGATCTCATTCTGATGCTGCTGGATTGCTAATGAAGCTAGGCATCTTGTCTTTGGTCTCAGTGACATTATTTCTTTTGTGTTCTTTGAAGTCTGATAGTACTTTATTAACAATGTGGACCATTACGGTAACAGGCACTTTTAAATATCTTTGTGAATTTAACTCTTGCAACAACTTGAAGTTGGCATGTAGTCCCCATTTTACAGGTGAGGAAACTGACACCCACAGAGGTTAGGTAGCTTTATTAACTTCACACAGTTTCTCAATAATTTTTTAATCATAATCTAGAAGTCTTCCCCTAAGGTGTGAATGGTTATCTCATATTCTACTTTGTGTCTCTCTGCCACAGTTCCATAGGGTACACATTTTGTTCTGATTTTATTTTCTACTTGGTGACAGGAAACTTTCACAAACAGGCCCTTGGTGGGGAGGTAGCTCACTGTCTTAGCTTTCCCTGGCCTCTACCTTGTTCTTGGCAGGTGAAGGTGTTTTGAGTGAGCTGGAGCAGTGGTAGATTCTGACCACCACTAACCTGGAACTTTTGTTGTTATCATCTGGAACTTTTGTTGTTATGTAAAGAATACCCACCACTCTTGTTTCTAATTATAAAACAAAGACATGCTGTAGAAAATGTCAAACCATAGAAACCTTTTGAAGTTAAAGTCTTCTTTTACCCACTTCCCTCCAAACTCACTCCCTTCCTAGAAGAAACTATTATTAATAGAATGATGTTTGTTCTTCTATATATGTTTACACAAATTTATAAATACACATAAAGTTTTAAAACAAATCATATCATACTATAATGTATTTTATTTTTGCTATTTTCCATGCCAAATGTAATTCACATATTTCCATATTTGTGCACATGATTCCAACTCACTATGTTTAATATCTTAAATATATTCTTAATGGATATACAAAATTTAACTGTTCGTTATTTTATAGAAATTGAGATTATTTGTAATTTCACTATTACAAAAAAAATGCTGCAGAAAGATCCCTGTACATAATTTACTACACTGATACCTAATTGCTAATTTGCCTTACTTGCTTTTAGTTAGAGAGTATGTGTCATGCTTTTACCATTTATTTTATGAGTTTATGTGTCATGCTTTTACCATTTATTTTATTTGATTCACAGGGAAATTAATTATATCACTGGATAAAAACACTTGTGAAGTTATTGGACTTCAGGATTGTTCATCTCAGTATTCTGGTAGAAAAGCATGGAATTTAGCAAGTATTGCTCACTCTATTAGCTTCTAACAAGCTAATATATTCATACCAATTTAAATTCAAATGTTTGAAATCCTTCTACCCTCTTTTTTTTAAAAAAAAGTTTTGCTTTTTTCTGTCTTTAAAACTTTAGATTCTGTTGCTATCAATTGGGCTTCAGAGAGAATTAGATATTGCTACTATGTCTATTTTCAGATGTAGTCTGCAACTAATAAAGATTATAGGATTAGATATGGGCCATTAGATTCTATTTTTTGAGACACAAAATGCAAAGCAATCAACTAAGATAGGAGTCTACAACTTAGAATCTTTTGTTTCTTTAATAATGACATTTGTATTAAAAGTCTTGATGAGACAATAATTAAATGCATGGAATTAAAAATTACAATTAGAACTGGTACATCACAACAGTAAAATTTTGCTCTTAGCTTATGAATGAGCACCTTGTAACATGTAATACAATTTTTTTCTTAAATAATATAAAAGGGGAGATAAATACCTGAAAATTTAACAAAATGACGCAATAAAAAGGAAACAAATTCATTGCAAGAGATGAAATGACATTTTAAAGGGTGAAAAATATAAAGAAATTCAGTAACTAACAGGCCCTATTGTCCTGGCTCCTTCAGAAAGATTACTCAGATGAAGTTGGGAAGTTGTTTGGGGAATAACAGATTCTGGGGTGTGGTGGGACTTTCACAGGTTGCACCAGCTGGAATAGCTGAATTTTGAAGACACTCTGCAGTCACATGGTGCTGGGGTCCCTGAATCACATTTACAAAACTTTGCACTATATTTTTAAAAGCTAGGAATTAAAATCTGTTACTGCTAACAACAACAAAACAAAGAACTAAACTTACACACACAAAAATGGTACACACAAAAATGTGCAGATCTGTAACATTTTTTTCTCACAGCTAATAAAAAAAATACTACTGTTCTCCCTCGGGCTCCCCTTTGATACAGTAGGTAAACAAAATAGATTTTTTTTTCCACATATATCAGCAGACACTGGCACCCCACACTGTATTGTCATCAGTGTCAACACTTCAGATGTGCAGTATGTCGGAGGGGACACATTGTAACAGGAATCCCGCTTTGCATAGACATCCGCAGCACGGCAGTCAGTCATGGGGTTGCCCTTCCCAGGTGGCAGAATAAGAACCGGATATTAATTTTCAGCTACTTCCGGAAAGCAAGGGAAAAACAGAAGTTTGTTCCTCTCCTGCTCCTTCATATAGTTCTCCCTGACTCCCAGCATTTAAAACTTGGAACTAAAAAACGGTTGTTGAGCCCCACCAAAAACGAATTTCTCCTTTCCACCTTCTCTCCCTCTTTTCTCTTTGCCCTGCCCATTTTTTTCCCAGGCTAAAACTTTTGTTTGGTGGTTGTCGAGCTGCCAATACTGTGCCCTAATGGCTGCTTAAATGGAGAAACAGTGTCAACCAAAATCGCTGAGAAGCGTACATGCTGCAAAGAGCCACATTCCCACCACAGTATCAGATGGTCAGGACGGGACACCCCCTTGAGCACAGGGTGAAGGACGCCAGCGGAGAAGGCCAGTCGGACTCTGGGAACACCCCTGCCAATGCAAAGTCGTCTCCAATCTCAAAGCAAGCAATAAATCACATTAGAGAGTGGGATGCATTTGGCTTTTGTGTGCTTTTGTGTGCCTGCGGCTGCCAGCGCCATAGAGGAGCCTGCGGACGGGGTAGTGGCCTTCAACACCGCTGGACTGCTCACCTAGTTCATCTGCTGCCAGATTTTGGCAAACAGCTCGCCTACCAAGGCTTTCTTTTTGGCCAACGTCTCCATGAAGGGACAGCTCCACTCCTCAGCCAGCGCCTTGCCCGCACCATCCAAGACGTCGCGCTCACCCTCCAGGTCCACCTCGTTGCCCACCGGGATCCTGGGCACGCACTTGTACCGCTTCATGCAGGTTATCTGGTCTCTCCTAGGCTCGACGTCCTGGAAGCCTGGTAGAGGAGGCTGGTCCTGGAAGCGCTGGTGGACAAGGCTGCAGATGAAGCAGCCTGTTAGTCTTTGATGTGCAGGTCCTGCCTAGACATGAACTGCTCGGTGCCCGCCGTGTCCAGGATCTCCAGCACCAACTCCTGCCAGTCCTTACCTAGCTCACCTTGTGGTAGAAGTCCTCAAGGGTCAGGTCGTACTGATCGAGGAAAAAGCTAGTCACAAAGTGCACTGTGAGTGCTGACTTCCCCCACCACCCAAGCCCAGCACCGCCACCCTGTACTTGGTGGACAGCCTGCCCTGGGGCTTGGCGGCTGTACTTTTCCCCTTACTCAGCTCCGCAAGAAAAACCCAGGAGAGAGTAGCCGGGAGAACGCAGGGCACAGAAATCAGGAGCAGGCGCCAGGCCAGCTGCTGTAACTCCCTGGGGCGCAGGTCCGGCCCCCGCAGTGGTCCTCGGCTGCCCCTGCAACCCTGGCACGAACCCGGAGGGCAGTGCGGGCAGCCTGCGGCAGACTACTGGAGGGCCTTGCGGACACAGACTGAGAGGGCCGGGAGGTCGCAGCCAGGAGCTGCAGAGGTGGCTGC